ATAGCAATTCAAAATGAACTTAAATGCATCCTCACTCTCTGTACCTTGGAACACTGGAGGCTTCAATTTCTAAAACTTAGTCTGCATTTTAAGTTATGTTTCAACCATCGCAAGACCTAGCAACGGATGGAATAACACATCAGTGTTCGAAGCTTCATCCATCTTAGGAACAATAGTAGCAATATGATAAATACCCGGGGCCTTAGTAGATGAGAGTGGCTCTAGTACCTTCCAACCCACTCAGAAAATTTAACATTTGTTGAAACCATCCAAAATCCATAGGGGGAAAACCAGCAAACCCAGCCTACGATCTTACCTTTGTCTCAACTTCCTCTTTAAACTCTATCTCAACCGTTTATTCGACATGATCCAGGAGTGGAGGAGGGGACACCTGCCTTGGCCCATTTGCTGCCTTTCTACACCTGGTGGGTGTTGTTCTCCATCTTCCCCTGTCTCTACCTCTGACTCTATCGCATCCTCCAACCAACTACCAACCAATTTGTAACCAAGCAAAAAACTAAAACACCTAAGCTAACAGTTTAAAACAATAAAAGAATAATTTTCCATAAGCAAAATCCATTATCATAAAATAACTTTGCAAAAATAATCTCCCTAAAAACTGAAAGTCGTGTACCAAAACTCTAAGTATATAGGGGGATGCAACCCTAAATAAGGAAAAACATAAGTCTAAAGATATTAAGTCCAAACAAATGAACTAAGAATATATGAGGAATTTGGGGCAACCCAGAAGAAGTAGCTCACCCTTTGATTCAGATATCGCGTGTCTCACAATGGAGGTCTCGTAATAGCCGTCTGAATATGTCATGTACTCAACAAAGAAAGAACAAATACAGTATCACTACACAACTACAATGTATTGGTATGATCACCGGTTAGTTCCACATATATGAATGTAAACACATAACTAAATAATAGTAATTACAATACAATACATACATTAGTCCAATCAACAATTCAACTAAACTCTCAGTTACCTTCCTTAATAAATATATTTAATGAAACATGTCTCACATGATCACAAACATGTCCGGTTCACTCAAGGAATCAACATACAAGAGAATAACCAACACACACCAAGTGTAGTGCCCGATCCAACCATTACTAACTTGTACCGAAATGGTACATGAGACAACTAATATGATATTCCACACCATGTGTGGTACCTGAGCCAATCAATAGTAACTTGTACCTACGTAATATCCGAGCCAACCAACAATCACACACAAACACACACTTGTAAGCCATAAGTAATTTAAATAAGTTCATTGCACAAAATTGACAACATGATACCATTTTATATTCATCTCTTTATGTTTCCCCAACATGCATTATACAAGTATTACTATAGAATCAGTTATCATGAACACATTACATAACTTGGAAAATAAGCAACAATCCTCTAACTTGAATTAAGCCTTGAAAGCTCTAAAGAACTTGAGTTTTCCCCTTATTATGAATTTCGTCTTGTTCTTGATCTAAAAAAATGAACATATTCAATAAACAATGAACTAAAAATACTCAAATTATACTCAAATTTTAAACTCCAAGCCATTCCCATGATCACCACGCTCAAATCAGGGTTTTCCACCATTAATTCAAGTCAAAACTCTCCCCTAAGATAACCACCATTGATTTTAAGGTCCAAAAATCAAATTACTACATTAGGAAAAGTAATTAACTTACCTTTATCGAAGAATTTAATGAAAAACTAAAGAAGACGACTTAGATTGCCCCTTTCTCTTCCCAAAAATGAGTTAGTAGAATCATGACCGCTTTTTAGACTTTTCAAATTCGCGACTTACCCCGCTATAGCAGACCCCAACCGTTATAGAAACTTGCATAGAGACAGAAACTCGTAAATCTTCTCAAAAGTCGTCCCCATTTTGCAATACACTTTCGAACCTTGACGTTCTAAACTAACTCTTTCACGCCAAGTTTGATATTGGGAGTTCTACTTTCTTGAATTCACTTCTGAATAGCTTTACGAACTCCTTAATGTCTTTGCTAATAGAAAAATCAATCCATGCTTAGATATTTTACCCAATACTTTCTTGAATTTCCCTAGACTTTACCTTGCTCATATTTCGTTTAAAATTGTCATAGCCAAGTTTGATATTGGGAGTTCTACTTTCTTGAATTCACTTCTGAATAGCGTTACGAACTCCTTAATGTCTTTGCTAATAGAAAATCAATCCAAGCTTAGATATTTTACCCAATACTTTCTTGAATTTCCCTAGACTTCACCTTGCTCAGATTTCGTTTAAATTGGCATAGCCAAAAAATTTTAAGTTACAACTCAAAAAGTTTTCTTACACAATTCTTTAACCGTTGACCTACCTATAAGGACCGGAAGGGGTCGTTACAATCTCAAGATAAGTTTTCTTTTGTTTTTAGCACATCATTGTTTGAAATTCCTTTCAAGAAGTTGAAAGTTTATCTACTATGCCACAAATAATAAGTTTATCTCAAATTTTAATCTCTTTGGTCCTGAACTCTCCAACAATCATTGTAAAGTCTTGAGCTTGATCTACCTTTGATTTGTTGTCCAACATTTGAAAATAAAAATATTTGCTAGTAGCATATTTTTTCGCTCCAACCTCTTCGATATCATACTTACTCAACAATCATATTCAAGTTTTCTTTGCACTAGAGTAATTTCTATCACAATAATCATAAAAATAATCAGATAGAAAATTAAAAATATAATATCGACACTTATAGGAATTATCATCATATTTTTCACCTCTCTTGAAGAGAAATAAGTTCATCATCATTTATGGAGGTGTTTTCTACCTTATTAGGATTCTTCTCAACTAGCACATAAGAAACATTGAAAAGACTTAAGTTGAAAAGTGTTTTACTCATTCATCTCTTGAAATAAGTACTATTGAATCAAAATGGCTTGCTGAGAACTCCTATCTTAACATTCTCGAATTTTTCAATTGTTTCCAGGAATCTCCTAAAAATTGTTGATGAAACTACAAATTACAATTGAAAAAATGAAGAAAATGAATCTTCGGGTTGAAGCGCAGATATTTCATTTTTTTTAAGGAGATTAAGTCCACCTAATAAATATTTTCACCGATTCAACAATTTATCCTCTTGACTTGTTCTCTCCAGGATACAATGATATAATAACAATGTATAATTCAACAAACTTTAATGAAAGATTGGGAAGCCCAAGTACTTCTCAAAGTATTACATACTTCAATATTTAGAGAAGACGACTTCAGTTCTGCTATGATTAATTTTCTGCCAAAAGTTAGCATTGAACTTGTTCAGGGTGTTAATAATGGTAATGCAATTCCTAGGATTAGCTCTAAAGAATAAGGGGAGATCATCGGCAAAGAAAAGGTGGGAGATCCTTGGGCCATTGATGGTAACATTATTGATTAGTGTTCAATTCTTAGTTCAAACCTCAAGGTCAATATTTTTGGAAAGCCTCTCAATACACATAATGAAGAGATATGACGACATGGGGTCGCCCTGTCTAATGTTGAAGATTGTAAAGTCAATTTTTTCCCCTTGAATCCACATTTCTTCCATGTTATTTAAGTAGTTATATCATGTTATCATTCTTGATTAACATTCTTTGTTGACCAAATCAACTTAACATGTTCAATGATATATGGAACAAAATAATGTTTTTGAACTAAGGTCCCAAGCTCTTGAAGTTGCTTTACACATACTATGAACTTTTGACTTTATTAAGTCGATTATGAATTGATCTGTTAAAATTTTACTTAAAATGGAAGAAATATGTGTTGGGAAAATCATTTATAAAGAAGTGAAATACACATATCATTGTACATATTTATGCCTCATGGGCCTTCTACCTCCACGCAACATTCCTCTGTCAAGCTTTCGCCCATTGCGAAAAATATCCCATCACTGCCTCCCGCATGAATCAAAATAACTAAAAAAATAATTCACATGTATCAAATTAAACTTTGACTATTTAGTTTTATCGGTTGAGATGATATCCAATGACTGACCTCAACAAACAAACCCACATACAATGATTCACATTGATCATTCATATAAATTTGCAAGTTATTATTTCATTGGTATAATGTATTATTCAAAATCATTGTTCGACTAATATAAATATTAGTTTACATAAATAGGTACTACGCGCACATGTTGACAAATTAATATATAAGAGAAGTAAATGCTAAATTTTGATTGTTTCTTCTGTAAGCTTGATTTATTTGATTCTCTAATAGAAGATTTTATCTTAGTCTATTAAAAATATTACTTTATATGACATTTTTCATCGAAGATATTTATCGATCATATAACTAGAAAATTATATGTGACAGTAGGAAATCAATTCCTCCATGCACTATACTTAGAAAATTATTACCAAAATAGAAAGGCCACGCACCCCTTGACCAAAGTCTAACCTAACTACTTTATCCTTTCCTTCCCCACCTCTTTTTGTTCCATAATCTGTTGACTAGATATATAACCTTCCATAATCTTACATTGATAAATCATGCTACCAAGAGCCTTTTATTTCCAAAGTACAGTTTCTAACCAACCAAGCATTGTTTCTCTATTAACTATAGTATGAGTCAACTTGCAAATGATAGCTGTTATCTCCCATCAGCACAATCACCGTGTAATTTTGCCCAGCAAGACAGACAGCAGGCAAGAATCACCTATCCACCATTGTTGTTGTCCAGCAGATACAAGGTTAATTTCTCAACTGTTACAAAACTAGTCATCAATAAAACCATTGAGGTCCAGGTAAAGCACTGATATCCATTTAAAAAATTTCTAAATCATATCTCGACTAGTCCATTTTCAAGTGAGAACAGTTGCTGTTAAGATAGATTTACATAAGAAATTAGCACCAAGTACAGGTGAATTTCTTAACTGTTGCAAAACTGGTAGCCCATAAAACCAATGAGTTCCAGGCCACAGATATTCATAAAATTTGACAATTGTAGATCACATCTCTTCACTAGAATCAGTTTTCGAGAAATAAGCTGTCATTTAGATAGCATAACATAAAAGATTAGTAACATTTACAGGTGAATGGAATTTGTTTGTGTTTCAGAAACAAAGGCAGTTTACACCCGAAGAAAACTTAACCTGTTAACCCTAACTCTTTAACCATATGTACCTTGCTACCCTTTAAAGGGGAGAAGCATTCCTAATTTTGTTTTTAAAAGAAAAAACTTTGAAGAAACCAGAAGTCCATGTTTCGTCAAGGATGCCACCAACATTTAGAAGTCAACAAAAAATCCAGAATCTATGGGAGGAGCTTCAGGGGACAATATGTTAAATCCTGTTGAAACTGGGGTGTCTGAAGGTGCAGAAACTAACCAATCAGCATACTGAATGTCCAAATCGGTTATGTTTTCCATTAACTGAGGATGTCTACTTACCTCCGGTGTCTCTCCAGGTTTAGGATTATATACATTACCCGAACTATTAGTTTGGCTAACATGTGTCTCCCAACCAAAGTCAAAATCTTCGAAACTTGGAATTAAAGTATTTTCACCTTGATATCCATGCTGGGAAATATTTTTGCTATCAAATGATGATGATGAAATATGCTGTCCACATAGTTCAGGTTGGCAAGAGAAAGTGTTCTCACACCTGCTTCCAAAAGTGTTTTCCATTGTAGCAGGGCAAGGTAAATCGCCACTGCAGGGAACTGAAATGTTTGGTGAGGTTCCATGATCTGGCTGATTGGACAACTGGGAGACAGGGGTAGTTGAATTTCCAAGAGCGGTGACTGCATTTGTCGGGGAGGCCAGTAGATACTGGGAAGCAGCGGTATTTACAGAAGTGTTTCCTCCTTCAGGATGGAAGGCTACTGAAGATAGCAGAGGCAAACTGTTAGCAGAGTTTCCGTCTGCATACTGTTGAGAGAACATTTGGGCTTCAGATGACAGTGGGTTGTTATACATATTACCCACCTGTGACTGGGAGGATACTGAATTTTCACAGGAAACAAGACTTTCAAATTCACTTAGAACACTAGGAAGTGTAGACAAGTGAGGTTGAGAAGGTGATGAATTAGCATATGGCAGAAGGAATGTTGGAGCTTCCGAAGACGCCGAATTTGCACAAGCACTGACCTGTGGCTGAGAGGGAATCTGAGGTTCCATTGGTGCATAATTTGTAGATGCACCCACAAACCTAGGCTGCCTAGGTAACCGAGGTTGGAAAGAAACAGCATTAACACCAACTACGCCAGCACTGGGCTGGGAAAGGATCTCAGGCTCCGTTGGTGCATAATTTGCAGGTGCACCCACAAGAGCAGGCTGCCGAGGTAGTTGATGTTGGGAAGAAACAGCATTAACACCACGTATCCCAGCATGGGGCTGAGCGGGTATCTGAGGTCTCATTGGTGCATAATTTGCAGGCACACCCACAAAACCAGGTTGCCTCTGTAGTGGAGGTTGGTAAGGAACAGCCCTAGCACCAAGTATGCCAGCATTGTGCTGGGAGGAAGCAATATACTTATTGGAGCCTACAGGCCGTGAGGCAGAAGGCACCTGCCACCTAGCCGCTGAAGAATGAGTTCTACCAAATTGAGGCACAGAACAAGTGTTTGGTGAATTGTATCCAGATCTATCAGTTGCAAACGCCTGTCCAGATGACCCTGCCCTTTTGAATGCTGTTCGGGGAGTAAAAAACTGGGGACCCATGTGACTAACACTGTGCCTTCTGTCCCCTGGATTAACATTAATGCTTGCATTGCGCAACTGTTGAGAGACAACATGGCTATGAAATTTGTCTCTAAGAGCAGTGGACTGCTGTCTAGTTGAATTTGGTAACCCAGGACTGCTTGACATGGAACAAGGACGAATCGGGGCTTGTCTAGACATTTGGTTATGTGGAGGATAATTGGGTACTCTCTGAATAAAACCTGGAGCTTGGTTAGCTACAGGTGGGGGGACAGATACTGAAGTACCACGGCATGGAGTGACCAGTGGAAGCACTTTATCACTTTTCCTTGTGTTTTGTCTCTGTGCTTTCCAAAACTTGTCCTTGTCAGTGGCATGACAATGGGCTGTGCTGGAAATGCCAGTGCCCCAGTAGACACATGGAGCAATTGTGTCACAAACATAACAATGGCACTGAAATTAAGAGAATAGTGATCAAGACTAACAAATTTTCACTCAAACTAAATGGAATTCAAATGAAGGATAAAATTACCTGATCACAATGCCGTTCATGGGGAGTAGAACCAAAGGGAAATTTAGCACAAAGATGTCGTGAATGGGGATAATCTCTGCAGGCAATCTGCAAAAAGGAAGACAAGCAGAAGAAATCAACATCAAAAGACCACCTTCAAACTCCCAAGTGAGATTCGTAAATTACACCGTACAATTATAATCATTGTAATAATAAATTAGTGTGAGAAAATGTACAATAACAGACGAGGGGAATTCTCCATTCAACACTTCTTACTCCACAAAAATTGCAATGCCACTGATATTAAGTGCATTCACCATTAAAAACTCATCAATGTGTCTTAGTGCATGCTCATAGTGGACCAATCTAGCCCCTATCACGTGCAAAGATCATGCAGGAGAACTATAGCAAAGCAGCTATTTCACTACCAACCACAAGTTAAGCAAGTTCGACATAGGACTAGGTAACAAATGACTTGTGTATTTTTTTGTAAGGTAAAATTTTATATAAGTATCAGCATCAAGAGTATGCTATACATCAAAATAGTTCTCACAGGTTGTGTAGAGAACTAATCAAGTCAATCATGGCTGATTCAGAGAATCATGTACATTTGCCATTTTGCTCCAAAAAGATAACAAGGAAATACAATGAGACTTGAGACTAATTTACATTCTCCTTTTTGTCTTCAATAATTCTTGAGTTTCTCTCTCTCCAGATAACCCACCAAATTGTTGCAGGAATTGCATTCCAGAGTCTTGAATTTATGCCACTCAGCCCCCTCTTGTGCCAACTTTGTAGAAGATCCTATGCATCTCTAGGCATTGTCCATTTTTGGCCCAAGGTGACAAAAAAATATGTCCCACAATTGAGCAATTATGTTGCAATGCAGAAATAGATGGTTAGTGTCCTCTGGTTGCTCTTCACATAATGCTCTACAGCAAATGTGCATTCCTCTTCTTTGCAAATTCCACTGTGTGAGACATGCATTTTTGCATACTAACCAAATAAAGATCTGAACTTTGTAAGGGGCATGGCTTTTCCAAACTTTTTTCCAAGGCCCAAACTGATGTTGCATTGTGTGGATTGAGCAGAAGGGTGTAGCATGATTTGACTGTAAGGATCCCATCTTTCTTTCCCTTCCAACATATGCTGTCTTTATTGTTTGTAGACATATAAATAGTTCTTATATGCATCGTTCCCTTAATTACATGGGTTATCTTACTACGATAAAAGTGCAGGTAATCTCATCTCCAAAATCGATAAATTGCCCCCAGGAGGAAGGGATGTAAACTTACCTTCACAAATTCACTACTACCTTGTTGGAAATGTCCTCTGTAGTACAAGGGCTAATGAGAACCAAAGAAAATAAAAAATAAAAAAAAATATATATACACACACATTGTATGGCGGCGGGGGGATAACTTATCCATCAAATCACACAACTCCATGGAATGCTCTGACACACAGCTGTCTAGCTAATGTAATAGGCAGACTACTATCACTCAGTCAGTTTCACCTCCTAAGAGAACATTACATGGAATTGGTGCAGTTAAAGTCAACCAAACTTCAATGTTTGACCTTCTGTAACAAACATAGCTTACAGCATGGACACATGCAGAGAGAGAAAAGAGAAGTTAGGCAAGAGTGGGCATTACCCTAAATGATGTAACTTAACTATCAATTTCCTCATTACAAGGGGTGGAATTTTGCAAGACGCTGTATTGAAATCCAAGTGTACTAGGGTTCAACCAGAAAGATTATGACATGTTCACACACATCAAAGCATAATGATCATGTAAGGGTGCAGTTTAATTCATGTATGTCATTTAGGCAGTCACTGCCAACATATAAATGGAAGAAGCAACATGATAGACTTTTCACGGTGATATGTTACTTATCAGTCCATTCTTATCTTGTCTCTCTGAAAAATAAAGCTCACAGTCACTGAGGCTTGATCTACCCCATTGTGGAGACTTCTGACCTGGCTTCCCAGATAAATGATAGAAATTTCTTGTCGAGGTAGAGGACCTCGCCCTCAAGGGAATCCATTTAACTGCAGCCATCTGGTGCTGCAACAGTAATCTGAACAGAAAATCAAAATCCTTTTAAGGGATCAGACCATCATGATTTATAGTGTTGATTATAATAAGTTCCTAAGGAGTCATCTATCGTCTATGTGGCACAATCAGATCAACTCTTGTCTCCTGCCTCACCAACTCTTTCACTCATGCCAACTAGATTTTTTATTCAGAAGCCTATAACCCTAAAATCAATAAACTTATACAAGGCTTCTATTGTTCTATTGACTTGGCAATAAATATGCTCTTGTACAGAAACGAGGAATGACATGAGGCGTGAGTGACAAGGTCATTACTATCTCTCTGCTAGTTCATCTTTAAATACATGCACTGCCGACTGATACTCACTCCTCCACTGATCTGATAATCGAGAACATGTGGATCTTTCAAACTTCAGTAGATGATCCCTTCTCTTCTTTCGAGCTGTGTCTACTTGAAGGTGAAAAAAAACACATCCACTTCTCCACTGATCCGATAATCGAGAACATGTGGATCTTTAAACTTCAGTGGATGATCCCTTCTCTTCTTTCGACCCGTGTCTACTTGAAGGTGAAAAAAATACATCCTCTCCGAGTTGAGTTAATAATCATGCGTATCCATTTGAACTTGTTCATATAAATGAATGAGTTCTGGTCAGGTTACCGGCAGCATAAACTCTCAGTACATTGTAACCTTTACCAATGACTAATTTTGCTAGAATAAAATACTTCTTGAGAAATGCTTAATTCCACATCTTCCACCGTAATCCACAACAAAATAGATAGCAGAGCACACAAACGATCACTTGATTGTAACAACAGCACTCTACTATTTCATCAAATGTTCTAATTTCAGGTAACTTACTGCATTAATCAACCGAATGTCTTCTTTAGCCATACAGGATTAGGCCTCTTTTTCTCTCCTTCATCATAGAGTCTAGATACATGTTTTTATGATATAAGCCAGAGAAGGACAAACTCATTGCTAGATCAATTAAACATGTTTTCCTTTGGTATTCTGGACTTCAAAAAGGGTACAAATGTTATTTTCCACAGGAGCAGTTGTATTTTGTAAGCTCAAATCTCTTTCCATGTTTGAGGGTGGCAAGTACAACGTTTTCGGAGATGAGAGAGTATGATTTAGAATTTGGAGAGTGAAAGGTTTGGATTTTTCTTGGGAAACTCAAGATTTGGAGAGTATTTGGACAGACATTTAATAGTGACTTGATATTTTTGAAAAGGAGTGGATTAGCCCTTCCTGAACAAAGCAACACAATCACACAAAGCAGTTATAACACGTAGCACATAAATAGTTATATAGCGCGTCCCAAGCAGGTATGTGGCCTTTTTTTGCCAAGGGGGCCGCCTACCGATTTGAAAGACGTATGTGCCGTATTTAGACCATTCCATTGCCCAAAAATATAAGCTTCATATATCTAATCAAAACGCTCCTTCAAGGAGTACACAAAGCGAAATGAAATAGGGGGCACATTTAGGGAAAGGGAAATGCATAAAGCAACAGGCCCACATAGGGGCAAATATAGGTTAGTACGTAAAAAGGAATACATAAAAGCAAACTCATGCAAAGGAGAAAACTATTGAAATGGTCAGGATGGCCCCTACGTAGGATAGTGCTAGTACTAAAGGTAAGAAAGTAGGTACAAGTACTACCACCAAGCCTATCCCTCAGAAAAGGAAGAGGACACTCAACTAGCGGCTAATCTTCTACCCTACTCTACAACCTCCAAATCCTCTTGTCTATAGACAACAAAACAATGACTAGAAAATTCAAGAAAAAAATCAAATTAGCAACCATACTAATCCCTAATTGCTTGTAAGAATACAGAAGCAACCAACTAGAAAGAATCATGTTGGCTAATCATTTAACCATAACCCTATTGCCACAATTGTAAAGATATGGATTTTGAGGGAAAAGCCTTAACCAATATAAATAAAAGATGCATCTCACTTGAGCTATGCCTTAATAAGAAAGTGCATCCAACAAATCAAGCAGAGGTGGTGTGACAGTGACTTAAGAAAAAATAAATTTACCCCAACATGAAGGGCATGCTCTGACTTGAGAAAAGGTTAAAGAGAGAGAGAATCTAGTAGTGTAACAAGCTAGAGAATGACCAGTGCCTAATGGCCATGAAGAAACATATTTTGAGTCTGAATCAACACAAATCCATTGAAGTAACAAAGAATAAGATTTAAGGGGATACAGAAAGAACACCTCTACGCCTATTATTATGATACCACTAGTTAGCTAATGCAGATAATCATAAAGACAGCTTGACACTTCCATAAAAGAGGGAAAGTGTGGAAAGCCCAGACCCAATGTTGGCTGAATTTGAAAAACAAAATCTACAGGGGAAGATCTTTTTTTCCGCTAATTGTTTATAATTCCAGAATGCATACTAGTTTGACATGTGATTTCTGGTTTCATGCAAATAAATATTATTCTTGAACAAAAGTGAATTGCAATGCAAAAGCAATTTTGACGCTGAGCCCAACTAAAGCCTAGAGAAAAAATGACACAGATGTATCATACAGAAGAAATTGGTGGAAAGCACAGGTAGAATTCAGATTACAAAAGTTCCACCTTTTTTTTGTTTCCCTATCCGTAAAAGGAAAAAAAAAAGACAACAAAGGTCTCAAGTTTACGGCAAAAAAACTAGGTGATCTTCCCATCTATCCAGGCTTGGTGGACGGAGTACCTATGCTAGTGGGAGGTAACAATTACACTGTGGAATTAGTCGAGGTGCGCACAAACTACAAAGTGGTCCAGACATCACGCTTATTAAAAAAAAGACAATTATAAGATAAACTTGGCTGGACAATCCTCCTAGTGAAGACCTAAATGAACAACCAAAGGACCTTTCGAATTTGTACTAAAAAAGAAATACAACTGTAGGTGTAGCTAAGGAGATAAGCCATGTGATAACTAACACAGTGAAGGGTCTTTCTTCCCACCCAGCCTGGCACTCTCCATTGGACCTCTGTAGTGTTGCTTTGTTCTCCAAACTTAAGCCTCAACTTCTCATGCCAAACTCTCTACATATCCCCACCACCACACACACAGTACACAGACATGCCACTCAGGTCCCTTCTGCTTCTCACTTAACCGGCTTTGTTAGAGAAAAACCACACAAATGTATCATACAGAAGAAATGAGTGGAAAGCACAAGTGGTGTTTCAGATTACAAAAGGTCCACCTTTCCACCTTTGATTGTACTTTTTGATGACATGTAGAAGGAGGTTTCTTGTTTAAGATCCTTCTTTTTTATTATTGGTAATTTTTAAATTAAAGGCTTGTTTGGCAGGAGGGATAAGTAATAACAAATCCCAAGATTAATTTTAGGATGAGTTTATCCTATGTCTGGTTGGGATAAACTGGAGAGATAGCTTACCTGGGATTGTAGTGTTACTTTTATCCCACATTGAGGGTGGGATAACAGTCATGGGATAAATGATCCCGGGATAACTTGTTCCCAAATAACGATCCCTAAGATCTTTATGAGTTTAGAACCTAGGGAGCTTCAATGGGGTTTTAGATGAAGAGATTTTTTTTCTGTAATTCACAGAATTAAAATAATAGATGATTGTTTGATATCACCAGAACAAGATACCAGCAAATGTTAGAAGATCCTGCCAAGAAATCTAATAGTGAAGTCATAAACTATTTGAAGGAAATGAGCAGAGACTATCATCTCTCTAAAACTCCACATGTTCATAATCTTTCCTCTATTTTTTTGTATATTCATTCCCTTTGCCATTTTGCTAGGTCTTTTTTCACTACTCACTTAAAACTTTCCAGCACAAATCAAGACACTTATTGAAGCAAACAAAACAGACACTAGGTCAATTGGGTAAATATTAAAAAAAGGAGTTATCTCTAACAATAAAAAAAATAAAGGTGTGATCTTGCAAAACTCAGTACCTGACCCTTTTCGCTTACAACAAGCAATTCATCAGAATCATCACCTCTATCATTCTCAACTTCGACAGGCTTATCTGGGTCTTCCTCCAAAACCACACAATCATCATCATCATCGTCAGCATTGGTTAACAACTTCAAATTTTGTTTTGGATTCACAATAACTTCCCCCACCACTACAACATCATCAGAATCAACTTTGCTGCGTCCATCCCCTCCTTCACCCAAAAGTTCCGTTATCCAGTCATAGTCATCGCTCCCTCTTCCACCGCCGCCGCCACCATCGCCACCTCTGTTTTTCACAAAAACCACTTCTTCATCTGAACTTATATCCAATATCACTCTCTCCGGATCATCCATCATTGCGTACGTAACCCAAATTCTCACAATTTCTTGAAATCCCCCAAAATCTTACATACTTTTCTTCGACCAAGAATTTAAAAAAACCCCACAACACTAGGGTTTGTTGAATAGAAAAATTCCGGTGTCAGAGGTGAATAGGGGGCGAAGGAGATGGGTGAATAATGATGATAAATTGAAAATTAAAAGTGATTGAAACCCTAATATACAGAAATTTGGAAGAGAAAGAGAGATTGAATTATGGAGCTTTTTGCTCATTCTCACTCCTTTCAAGTCTCTCTATAGTTTTTTGATTTTTCTGCGTTGAGTCTTTCGGTTGGTTGGTTGAGTCACAAACCAGGTAAATTACGAGATGCTCTTACCGATTCTTTCGCCGTACGAACAATGACAGAGAGAAAAACATTGAAAATATCCTTAAATATATTTTTAGTTTTTTTAATATAAGTGAAATATATTTACAATCTTTTGAATTTTTATTAATATTTTGTTCAAATGGTTGTTACATATTATTTCATAATGTGTCGCATTATATTGTATTGTATTGTTTATTAAACGTAGCGCTTGGATAGACTGTATTATTTTCTATAGTTATGTAATGTCATACTTCAACAATTTAAATAATAAATCTGTAAGAAAAGTAGAGTACGAGGTAGAATTATTATGAAAATGTATAATAAAAGATAAAATAAGATAATTAAATAATAAGTAAAGATAAAATGAGAAGAATATATTAAGGTAATGACACAATCACACCAAATCAATCGTTACGTAAAATGAGACTTTTCGTTGTTACCTAACGATGAATTTAAATAATACAATACAATATTATATAAGTAACAATCAAAACAAACATGTTACTTGAACGAACGATATAATACAGTACAATGGTAACAAACATTCAAACAAGGTTACGCGTTTCATGTTTCTATTAGAGCTTGAATCCACTTACTGTGTCATGTGGTAGGTCGAAGGTGTATTTAAGTTCAATTTAAAGGCCGTCAATAATTTAGGGAAGAAATTAATAATTATTATCAAGCTTAAGGGTGTTTTCAATACTTCTCTCTATTTGTAATAATTTTAGTAAATGTGATAAATTGTTATTTAAATTAAAATATATTTATTTTTTAATATTATGGACAACTAAAAAGACGACCAAAGAAATACTCCACTTCCACTGTCCCATTTATTTTAAGTGTTGTTACTTTTTTTTTTTTAATTTGTCCCAAAAGAATATTATTTTATTATAATTAAAAATAATTTAATTTTAATTTTTTTTAATTAAATAATTTATAACCACTATAATATAAATTATTTACACTTTCAATTTCAATTTATTTTTAAAAATATCATATCAAACTAAACGATACCACAAATGAAAATGGATGGAAATTATTTATTGGCGAAAAGTACTTGTACTTTACTACGTACCATTTATTTAAATCATGGTAGGACCCAAGTAAAAGATATGGGAAATTTCTCCTCAAATGTAACGTTATTTATATTATTTATACGTTGCACTGCTGACGTTAGAAGGTTCCAACTTTTTCTCCAAGTCACAAGAAAAAAAAAAATATATATTAAAAAAAATAAAAAAAAAATCACAAGAGTCCTCAACTGTTAGAGAACCTCCAATAATTCAAATTCAAATAGTGAATATGTTTACTAATTTTATGGTTAATTAATGAGTTTAAAAGTATTTATACAATCAATCAGTTATTAGGTAAATAAATATTTTGATGAAGTAATTACTTGATAATATATATGTATCATAATAAAATAAAATTTTAATAATAATAATGCAATCAAAATGACAAAAGAAAACAAAAGTTAAATAATATTATTTGTAAAAAGTTGTGTAGTGAGATACATATATTAACGAAATTCATCGCTTTGCATCTTCAGAAGTTATGTAATAACATTTAATTCATCATTTTTTTAAAAAATATTATATTTATCTTAACGTTAGTTATTATTTTTAATAATTTTAATATGTTTATTGCTTTATGTGATACACACAAACAACTTAAAATTATAAAGGTTTCATAGAATGTTGATTGAACTTTTATCATTCATTAAAAAAAAATTAATAGACAAAATTATTTATTTGCTATTTTTTGCAAATAATTGTCATTTAATTATTTTCTTAATATTTAAGACTTTAAAATTAATTAAAGCTATAATGTTAAATCTTTGTTCATTTATAATATGTATGAACTCTTACTATTTATTACTTTAAATTGACTAAATCCACTTATTAAATCCTTCTTTATTTGAACTATATTAAAAGTCTTAACTTTGAGACTTTTAAATCGATATGTTTACCTTATATAAATCTTATTTAAATTATGATAAACAATAATTTTTTAGCAAAAGTATTAAAGTAAGAGGTTTTATTTTTTAAAATACAACTTTGTAATCTTTCTACATGAATTTTTTATATTTTAGATAGATATAATATTTGTGTTAATGTCAATTGCTATTTTTTAATAATTTTATTTATTTTTGTATATAGTTTTATTGATTTGCGGCATCTATTCAAAGCACGTACACTAAACTAGTATTATTTTAAAAATATGAAGATATTTAAAAATGTTGATTGAATTTTCTCCCTTCATTAAACTCTACAATAGACAAAATAGGCATTTGCTATTTTTCTCAAATAATTGTTATTTAATTATTATCCTAATATTTAGGATTTTGAAATTAATTAAAATTATAACTATTAAATCTTTACTTATTTGTAATAGGTAAGAAATCCTAATATTTAGTACTTTACATTGACTAAAATTTTATTTCTTACATCTTTCCTTATTAAAACTATATTAGAAGTTCTAATATATAAGGCTTTAAAATTAATGATTCTCACCTTATATAAATCTTACTTAAATCATGGTAAATAAAATAAACCAATTAATTATTTAAAAATATTAAAGAAGGAGGTTCACATTTAATTAGTTAAATCACTTTGTAACCTTTCACAAATTAACATTTTCACTAAAAGAAATTAAAAGAAATAATTTCAAAACTTTCGTATAGGTTTCTCTTCATCCACACTGACATTTTTTGTGATTCAAAATATTACATTTACCTTCTAATTTTAATTTTGTTGTAACAATTTTTTCATTTATATATAAAATATATACATATATAAGATATATAATAAGATTACTTTGTCCTTTTTAATAATAAACCTTTTAAATTAATTTTAGACACACTATTCAATATACAACACAAAAAAATATCTAAATAAGCGTAGTGTCAATTGTATCATTCTACCAAGATGCCTCTATATTGTAGGGCTAGTCATAGTTTGGACCAACATCTAGGTACTTATTAGGAATTAATTTCTCAATAATGCAATTTTGATCTATATTAGTATTAAATAATACAATTTTATAGATGATATAATTTTTATTTATAACTAATGTAATAGATATGTGGTAGTTTTGCGTTTTAACGATAGTAATTGCATTAATTCCTAATTTAGATAGAGGTTCTTCAAGAAACTCTACTTCTTTTGATGTATCTTCAGATTTAGATTTATAGAATTTCGGTTCTTGATTAGATGGTAGATTATTTAATATTTTATTAGTAATTGATTCGACTTCTAAAATGTTAAGTCTATATCTAATATCGTTTATTTCATCGTTTACATGTTATAATTTTGTCTGAATACTCTGTAGTGTTGTTTTAGATTTTGGTTCTTTAGATTTATTTAATACATTTGTCATGTCGAAAGATTTAATAGTTCTGTTATCAGATTGTTTATCAAGAATTAAATCTCTTGAGGCAATTAAATATTTTTTCTTTAAATCAGGGTCTTCAATATGATCTATCATATCAGAGAATGTTTCTTTATTACTACTAGCAATTATATTTATGGAATGGTTTTGCAGGTGCAAATTGCAATACGGCATCCACAAGGATCTGATAATTTGCTAATATCAGAACTATAAGCTATATTTAGCTTATCGTCATCGCTAAAAATTTTACTGGCGGAGGAGTTATTTTCATCTCTTTCTAGAATGGAATATAATTTATTCTTAACCTCTTCTTCTAACTCTAACATATTAATTTTGTCTTTCTTTTTATTAGTGGTTGGGCAATTATTGGCTCGATGTCCTATTTTTTTGCAGTCCCAACACTTGTCAGTGTTGTTTGATTTGAATCTATTTTTACTAGGGTCTTGGTTAATTTTTTTGAATCTCTTTTTGTAGTGACGCGATCTTTCCAATTTATAGTCATTCTTATTGTAACACCCCGGAAACTAGTAGGCTAAACTAGAGCTTGACGTGAGGGTTAGGGTCGTAGATATAACTTCCCGTACTTAAAATGAAGGGTTGAAGGTTAGAATGTCAAAGTACAACTCCTCAAGGACCAACCAAGGGTCCTTGAGGAGGACCCAAAAATCTACCTCAAAACAGTAGACCTACGGAACAGAGTTGCAGACCACCACCCACGGATGACCAGCACGCCCTATGGGTCCACTGATGAGTCCGAGAATTGGACTCATTTAGGGCTTTATTTACAATGATTTATTGTCTTCAAATGCTTACTTATGTAAAACCTTTGATTTCTAGGTATATGGATTGAGGAACAAAGCAAGGACATTGATTTGCAAAAAGGAAAGAAGCAAGCTGAAACAATGAAGAAAAACAAGCCTGGTGATCGCCAAGTCCACTTGGCGAGTCGTTGAATGGCTACTTGACCGCCTAAAGTTCCAATGTGCCAAGCCCTGAAGGAAAGAACCAAGTCGGCAAGAGAAAGGAACAGTCGGTGGATCGCCGAGTGGTTCGCGATGCAGTGTTGGATTGCCCAAAGTTACAGACCTTGAGGATGCTAAAGGCCAAGGCAGAGAGGCAATGGAAATGACCAAATGGTAGATCACCGAGTGGTTCGGCGAGTCCTGACTTACTTCGCCGAGTGACTCTTCACAGCATATTTTTGGCGACTATAAATACATTTTTGAACATTTAGTTTAGTATCAATTACTCTTTAGAAGAGATTTTTATCAAGTTTTGAACTCTGAGACAAGTTTTCTCTAGTTTTCTTTAGCTTTGAAGAATTGAAGTTTTTCACTTTTGAGAAATTGGAAGTGGGTCTTTGAGATTCTTCAACTTGGACTATTGTAAAGACGAAATCAATCTTACCCAGTTGATGGAAACTCAACTTGGTAACAATTTTTATCTTTTTATAATGTCAGCTAAAACCCCAATTCTTGGGGTGTGATTATGGGCTGATTTAGTTTATAGGTATTGCTAATTGTTAGTTTAAAAGGTATTTAGAACTATCATCGAAAAAAATATCTTGTCTACTGATGG